AATTTATCGTAGACTATTTTGTCGCCTATGTATTGAATATATTATTAATATCGGGCTCCAGTGTTTCTATTTTAACTGAATAAAATGAGTTTGTGTCTAGTATTTAGTAATGCAATTAGCGTTTAGTGGTTTAATGAAAGCTTTTACAACATTTATATCATGCAAGTAATTGAGCGTAAGGAATTATCGTGGTGTGGTATTCTCTTATTGGAAAGTACACAACCGGTTCTTACACGTCTAGAATTTCGCGTCATTCATTTTTATTTCGTTACTATTTGCATAATATGTTATCTTCGGTCTCTGGATACAGTGGTGCACGCAGGGGGAGAAATCGTTTGATTTAACCCATTGTTTGCAAAATCTTCATGCTTGCTGGAGAAAACCGCTTTGGACGTGCACGGATGATTTTAGATAGATAATACTTTATTAATCCCGTAGGGAAATTGATGTGTTACAGCAGTCCAGCCCAAGACAAAGCAAAAACAGACATCAGAATAGTTCGAAAACAAAAGACAAACAAGATAAATAAAACTAAACAAATACATAGGTGTGTGCAAAATGTGCTGATCGTAGTCACTGCAGAAACGATAAAAACGATTTTACGCCTGTGTTTCAGAATGACGTTGAACAGGGCTGTCGTTTTCAGAAAAGAGCTCGCAAAACGTCAGCTCGTCCTCGTTGAAGGGCAAAAGTTCATGGGTGCCGTCGCCCAGTGTGAGTTTCTGGAGAGTGACAGTTCACCGGGTGGTCTGTCTGGCTTCTATAAAATCCAGTTTGGTTTTGAGGTGCAGGATAAAGTGGATATCAAGGTGGATACTGGTCTGTCTGGGTGATATAAACTCCCTGAGGTTTTTGGATAAAGTGAATATGGGGGTGTTTCTAGTGCTCTGTACATAATAGGAACTGTTTTTCTATAGCGCCTAAAAAGTGGCTGTCCTGGACTTATCTCCAGAATAAAGTGAATATCAAGGTGTATCTAGTGCTTTGTGCTGGTCTGCTATTAAAGTCTTGATGTGGTCAACTTGGTACTGTAAAGTACACATCTAATGTAATGTAGAGTTTGCACCTCTTAATTCAGTTATTTATAATTCTAAACCTAGATCAGATGGAATTGCTCTAATGGGTACACTATTTCTGTTCTGGTCTCGTATTACATGCCTCAGTTTTATAACTGTGCCGTGTCGAGATATAAGATATAAGATCAGATCACTTTATTAGCCCTATACAATTTCTGGCATGAGGAATCGGTCTTGTCGCAGACCCCAGCTGGCTCTCCAGGAGACACACAGACGGGGAGAGAGAGAGAAGCTGGGGGGGTCAGAGGGCAGGGTCGGCCATTTATACAGCACCCCTGGAGCAGATGGGGTGAAGGGCCTCGCTCGGGGGGCCCCAACGGAGTAGGATTCCTCTGCGGGCCGCGGGATTCGAACTGGCAAACCCCTTCCGGCCCCGGGCGCAGATCCTGAGCCAAAGAGCCACCACTCCGCCCCAAAACAGATTCCTTGTTCTTTTAATGTCGGTGCTCGACATCTCCCCTGCAAATGGCCGGGGTGCATTGTAGTGCTTGTGATGTTTTGCGTACCACGGTTGAACTTGCACGCCTGTCTAAACCCCGAAGAAGTTCCTTTTCCGAGACAGCCCTGGCTGACGTTAACTGGGCTCTTCTCCTGTCTCTTCAGGGTCGGAGGTCGGGGCTCTCGCTGACGCTGGGGAAGGGGCTCCTCTTGAACAGCAGTGCAGCGAGGAGGAGGAGGAGGAGGAGTGGGGGTCCGTCTGTATGCAGGAGACAGAGCTCCTGGCTGCCGAGAGGAAGGAGCAACTCGGGGAGCAGCACAGAAGCAGGGTGGAAGATCTTGGCGGACCGGAGTATCGCCCTTCCGAGCAAAGACCCGAGAGCGTGGCTCGCTACCGTCAGGCGATTGGGGATCGGGATGCTCCAAACAGGCAGGGCGCCGGCGATATTCCACGAAGCGGCGGCGGAGCGGAGTCCGTCTCTGTCCGAGGACAGAAAGAAGAGGGGCGGGGCGACCTGGACGCCGCGCGGCCCGCGGGACAGGCCGCCGAGGTC